GTACTTCCACTTTTACCAGAGTATTTTTTAACACAAGTATCTGTACTTTTACTCAAGTACGGAAAGTGAGTACTTTTGCCATCTCTGGTTTTCGGCCGGGTTAAAATAAGATCAGATAAAAGTATTGAAATCAATGCTTTAAAATATATGCATTTAATATCATAAAATATGAGCATAAAAACATAAGAATTATTTTTTTTACTTTACAACTAGATGAATAGGGTACGTTTCTCCCCTACTATAAATTACAGGAGTAAAATAAAATGTTAGTAACTGATTTAATTGCTGCTATATTTGACTGATTGTTGTGATTCTTTAGGAGGAAACGATAGACATGAAAAGACAAATCTATGGTGAATCTATGGTGATCAGTAGTAGTGAAAAAGTCCAGTCAGCTTTCTGAGAGTGATGTCACTACCTGATCCGTCCTGCGCCATCAGCTCATTAGCGCCTCCAGATATTCATCCCGGTAGCCTTCGACTTTATTTTGTTAAAAAGACCTAAATGACGTTTTTCCCTCCCCCAAAAATAGTAAGTTTACTAAACTATAACGTGTTAAAGGTTAATAATGTTTTTCCTGAGAAAATAAATGCATTAAAACCCTTTCTGTTTTATCCTCTGTTCCTGATCTGTAGGAAATGGGATGCTACGCTACTTCCAGGAGCTAACTTTATCAGCTTTGGATTTAAACATAAATCTATTCTTTCTGAGTTTTTTTGTCCTTTCATGTTAACATTATTGTATATAGTGTATAATTTAAAGAAAGAAACAACTAAAATGCAGATAAACATGATTTAATCAGATTTAGCTGGACTGCTCTGAACATAGGGTTGGGAATTGATACGATTTTCAGGATTCCGATTCCCGAAACGATTCGACTCCTTATCGATTCTGTGAAACTATGAACTTGGTAAGAGTGCAGTGACATTCGTCTACCTTCGCCTGGGACATTCTATCTCTGCCTGCCTCTGCGAAAATTGGAATTGGAACGCTGATGATTTCCATCCCTATCTGATCGTGTCCCATGATGACATCAGAGAAGCTGTTTAACGAAGAAAATGGAAAAAGCATCAAAATTGTCTCAGAAAAGTCATAAAACATTTTTATTAAGATGTGTATTAGCATTATTTAGTAAAATAAGTTATTTTAGCACTATAATTACATTATTTATGGACAGCTGGATGTATATCTGTTGGCGCATGGGCAGGACGGATCGTGCTACAAGGAAGTTTCTGACTTCATAGGCCCCGTCCACACGAAGACGAACCCTGGCCTAAACGCACAAATTTTTCACCAAACCAGCCTCTCATCCACACGAAGCCGGCGTTTCGGGGGTCTGTAAACGATCTTTTTTTTATTCAGCCTTCAGAGTGGGAAGATTT